GGTAGGTGGTCGTACTACTACTTACTTACTTACTTACGTTACGTTTAGTTTAGTTTAGTTTGTTACGGTTACGTACGTCTACTCTACTACTTCTTCTTCTCGTGTGTGTGTGTGTGTGTGTGTGTGTGTGTGTGAGAGAGAGAGAGAGAGAGAGAGAGAGAGAGAGATTGCCTGAGTTCCATGATGTGCACCTTACTGGAGCATATAATTTTGTTATATTTCTTGATAATAATATCACTGTTGCCATCTATATGTTTAACAATATAGAAAAAATTGAGCTTATGTATTTTATTAGAAATTATGAGTTTGTTATAGAAAGAAATTGTCTTACTCAGAATCTGAAATTGGTCTCTCCAGATTAATGATCCAGACTACGCTGAAAGGACCGTGCATCAATTGTGGAGTGCCATGGCAAATGGGAGTGTGAAGGTAAATGTTATTATTGTATCCAATATATATAATGTTGTGAGTTATATGATTTTTCTAAATATTAAATCTAATGCTTCAGTTTTTTTATTCTTTCTTTTCTGTGTTTTGGATATCAATGATTTGTTTTTTGCAGATTGATAGGCTTAGTGGAGTGGCTTCAGATTTTGCTCCATTCTTGCAACATGCTGGAATTCCATCTCTAGACATGTTCTTTGGTGAAGGTAACACCCTTTTATCTTTTGAAATGCTGATACTTAGCAATCATTTACCCCATAAAAATTGACCAAAACATGGCCCCTACACTCAATGCCCTGATATCCTTGGGGAAAAATAGTAATTCTACCGTATGTAATGATATTAGCACCACAGGTATTGGGGTGCATGGTGTAAAACTACCATTTTGGCCCCATGATTGTGTGCATACATGTTTGGATACAGAGCACCCAAGCCCTCTCTTGCAAACCATTTTTTAGCAGATTTTTTCTTGTCATTCCTTAAGAAGAATGTTATTTACCAAAAGAGAATGCTTCCAATTAATAAAAAAAATTAATAAAAACTCATGACTAATAAAAAGCGAATGTGTAAAACGTGGCTAACGTTATTTTGATGCCATCCTAATGGTTCTTTTTTAATGTTTATGTCAGACTTTCCAGTGTATCATACAGCTTATGACACTTACAATTGGATGAGGAAATATGGGGATCCACTCTTTCACCGTCATGTAGCAGGTATAACTGATAAATGGATTTCATGTAAATATATGTGGGGCGGCAGGTTTAGTCACCCATGTCTTTAGTAATCCGCCCTAAGCAGTGGAAAATGATAGGCAGCAGAATCAGAGTCGTGGATTGGCTAGTATCACTAACCTTTCTCGGGTGGAAGAATAAGAAAGGATTGGCGGTTACTAAAAAGTGGGGTGGCCATTGTCTGTGTTTTTCTTTTTTCACATGATTTTAGTTTTGATGTATTTTAAGGTTGTGGTTTATACAACGTAACTACCTTACTTGTAGAAGTAAGGTTGTGGTGATCTACATTGTCTATTTTAGTGAGATGAAGTAGATTTGTTACGTCTTTTAAGACCGTCTATTTTAGTTAGATGGTGTAGATTTACCACTTTAGATAAACTTTTTTCTTTAAGTAACATTTGGTTTTTTTCATATAATTGATGATTGAGAGTTTAATTCTTTAAACTTACTAGAATCCTCCTTCAATAATTTCCAGTTTCTGGAATTTGGGGACTTTTGGCACTTCGCCTGGCTGATGATCTGGTCCTCCCTTTCGACTACTCCTCCTATTCCACTCAATTGCAGGTGTGTAGTTTACCGTCTATTCCACTCCTATTCCACTCAATAAGAAAAATTGGGTACTGAGATTCTACTAGGGGAAAGATGTATTGTTTTGCAGTTTCAGAGAATGAACTATGACCGCTCGGGGGTTAATTGTATCTTTTTAGTTCTATTTTAATCTGTTTTTATTTATTTGAAAAACATTTTAATCTTTTTTTATTCTAATTTAGATTACTTGTTTATTTGGATTCCAGATTAACTCATTTGCGCTTCTATTTAGATGTCTCACATATATATTACTTCTGGTTTTGTTTATTTGGAATCATTTTGGATGCCCCCTGTTCATTTAGTTCTCCACATTTTGGATTCCAAATGGAAATTTTAGCCTAATAAAAGGACACAAATGTTGCAGGAGCATGCGAAGGCATTACAGGGCCTTATGAGTGCTGGAATAACCCTGCAACCCATAAACACAGCGATTCAGGAGCTCAAAGAAGCAGCCGTTACAGTTGCAGATGAAGCAGAGGTGTGAGAGAGGACATTTCTACGAAGTCATTTTATTGCCATCCAAAAATCAAGATCTAAGACTTCCTTTCTTTTTGAGTTGTTGTTTTATTATCATCATTAAATAGTGTCAGAAACTTGTAGGAACTGCGCCATGGCAGCTCAACAGATGTGGCATTCGAGCTGAAGAGGCGGGCGTTTAATGATAGGCTCATGCTTACCGAGAGAGCTTTCTTGGATGCAGGCGGCCTCCGGGGAAGAGAATGGTTCAAACATCTGGTACTTCCGCTCTCTCCATTGAATTGTTTTGCTGGCGACTTGGTAGGGTAAGAGAGAGAGATTCATGGCTTACTCTAGTATGAATTGAAGTCAATGTTTGTAGGCATTTACTGAAGGGAGTGGTTTCTATAAGGTTGCAACCTTAAACAATCCAATTAAGGCGTACCTCTAAATTTTATTAATTTTGTTGTAAAACATTCTTAGGATTATCTGAAAATCTATTTTCATATCTAATTATAAAATTTTAAACTCCAAAAATAGCAAATATCAAGTAGATCAATAAACATATGAAAATCTTGAAAATTGACAATCTAAATGTTTTGCAAGATGCACTATTTATGCGACTCAAAATCTTCATTTTTTTTTATTTTTTTTCATATTCTTCCATCTTGATGTGGAGATGATCAATTAAAGGTTTTTCAACATTAAAACAACCTTTTCCAATGGATTTTTGAGGTGCATCTTTAATTCTACATTTTAAGATGGCAACCTCATATAAACGTTTTCCTTTACGGAATTCCATTCTTTTAGTCTTTGCAAACAACGCACACTTCATTTATGTGTGAGAGAAAGAGAGGGAGACTCATTGCTAAGTCTAAATGTCTAATATGATTGAATTCAATGTTTGTCGGCCAGTTACTGAATCGGGTTCCTTATTTTTGCAAAAAGCAATCTCTCTGTATATCAATGACAGGGAGAGAGAGAGAGAGAAAGAGAGAGGGGAATGGCTCACTTTTAACTGGATTTCTGTGTTTGTAGACAAGTTATTACTGAATTGGATTTTGTTGTCCTTACCAAACGACTCTCTCTCTGTGCCCCGGCATATATGTAGAGGAGAGATTCATAATTCATTGTTGGCTACTTTCTCACGCTTGGTTTTGTGGATGTTTAGCAATTTCGATGTTTTTAAGTTCTAGCACTGTATTTTTAAGATTTCTCTTCACTTATTTAGCTTTTTGTCACTGTACAGATATATGGACCCAGCAAGTACAGTGAGAGCAAGCTCGGTTTCTTTCCTGGAATTGTCGATGCAATTTATAAAGCAAAAGAAAGAGATAATGGGGAGGAAGGGAAAGCTTTAATTCAACATGAGATTTGGAGGGTGGCAAGAGCCATTAGCAGAGCCGCTGCTGCCTTAAAAGGAAACCTTATATAAAAAATGTGTTCGTTTGTCTTGTTAATGCACATCCTTATAGAGAATTGTGTAAAATCATTCCTTCCATTTTAAAAAAAGGTTTGATTTAAATGACAGTATGAGAAGAAAGTGGCTCTCTCTCTCTCTTTCGAAGGAACAGAGTAACAAGGGATATAGAGACTTTCGATTGAAGTAGCTGTTCTACTAATTTTTTAAGGAATGGGTGTGGTTTGTATAAAGTTGCAACCTTAAACAATGCACCATCAAATTTTATTATAAGATACTTTTGGTGACTTGAGAATCTATTTTCATCTCTAATTATAAATTTTTGGATCTAAAAAATAGTTCAAATCAAGTAGATCTATAAATATATAAAAATCTTGAAATTAGACAATCTAGATAATGTGTTACAAGATGAATTATTTTTGGGACTCGAATTTTTTTTCTATTTCATATTCATACATCTCGATGACAAGATGATCAATCAGAGGTCAACTTCAAAACAACATTTTATGATGGATCTTGTAATTGCACATTATTTCTACATTATAAGGTTGCGACTTTATATAAACTTTTTCATGTACTATAAGATGTCTTTTTGATAAAAAATTAAGGTCACAATCATCCCGAGCCATTACATATGAGATCTAGAAAGAAATAGGGGTAATGGTGGACAATCAAGGTAGTATGGAAAACAAAATTATGGAATGGTGCCTATGATTTTTTGGGTTCTTCTTAGTAAGATTGTTGGGGTCTCAAGAGAATTGATTTGTATGCAATTTGGAGGAGGTGATAAAGATGGGAGTTCCCAAAAGTAAGACCATATCTCATATGGGAACTTCTACATCAGAAGTTGAACTTGAAGGTTATCTTTGTGAAATGGGAACTGCTACATCAGAAGTTGAACTTGAAGGTTATCTTGGGCCTGTTGGATTTGAAGATTTGATAAGATTCATAGGGAGGGTTTAGAAATATTATGGACCTTGTGGTTATTGTGAATATGTAAGCCAAATGGAGTTATAAAAGGTAAAACAATAGGGATTCCATATTATATGGCTATTCACATTTGGCACATTTGGTACAAGGAAGTCACACAACAATATTATGGGATTAATATATAATGTGACCATTTACCATTGGCACAAGGAGGTTAAAATTATTTATGACCATCCGATGGAAAATATTAAGCTCGAGCGTGTCACAAATTTTGAAAAAAAAATATTTTGCATGTTAAGCATGGTCAATGGAATAAATGCAATCACCCAATTTCACATCCAATGATCAAGATTAATTATGACCACTTTGTACCAAAAGCAAATGGTCTTACTGTATATTTTTCCTAATCCTATTCAACCAAAAGGGAGATCACACTCATATTTAGCCATTAGAAATGAAATCTGATAGATTAAAGTGTGTTACGTAGTTCGAAAAATTGTATTTTGTACTTTATGTCCAGCCAATGACACCATCAACTATATGGATTTCACATCTGACGGTCACTAATGATTGTGACTTGTATATACCAAAAGTAGATAATCTTATTGTATAAAAAAAAGACAAATAAACAAAAGTATGAGCTTATTATACCGCAAATTGAATAAATGTGAAGAAATCGCCTTTAAAGGGTGAATGAAAATGTGACAAGGAGCCAAATTTTGTTTCTACTAAAAATGGGCATATACTATGCTCCCATGGGAAATACTAACATACAGTTGTGTAAATAATTTTTTAATACTAACATACAGTTATGTAAATAATTTTTTAATTTTCTGAAATGAAAATTATGTATAAAAACTTTGGGCGAGGAGAAACAAGTAAAACAACATATAAAAAAGCTTTGGACAAGGTCAAACTAAAAATAGGGATAACCCCACAAGCACGCGCGCCAGGTAGGGGTCGAACCTACGACTTTCTGCTTAGGAAACAGACGCTCTATCCACTGAGCTACAGGCGCTTAATTGCTAGGTTTTGTGAACAATTAAAAATATCATATATTATACATGCATTTGTTCACAACCACACGCATCTTCTAGTCACTGCTAAAACGGGGAAATTTGTACCCCGGACATACAATAACTTATGTTTTGTACTGGTGTTTTCAAACTTAGATCTGTCTAGGTGGACTGACTCTCATTTAACTTATTTAGATTGTTCGGAATTACAATCTGAATCAACTGGATTAACAAATATTTGGAGAAGATATGATCTTGGTTGGATCGACAATCTGAATCGGCTGGATCAAAAAAAGTTGGAGAAGACATGATAAAGCACTAACATTGGTTCTAGGCAGACCTAGACATCCCACCTGGTGACTTTGATCAAAATAGGCGATTTGTGGCCGGGAGCCCCTATCATAGCCAGTCATTTCTAATGCATGGAGAAGCACCAGAGTAATCCCATGTAAATATATAAAAAAAAGGAGAGGGAAACCGATTTTAGCTCTCCGCTTGTAAACCATTTCCAATAGGGATAAGAGTTTGTATAACGTTGCAACCTTGTACTATAAAAATAAGGTTCACCTCAAAAATCAAGTACAAAATAGAGTTCGAAAACCTTCTAATTGATCATCTCGATCTCGAGATAAATGCATATAAAGAAAAAAAGAATTCAAGTCCTAAAAATAGTCCATTTTCTAACAAGTTATCTTGACTGTTTATTTTCAAGATTTTCAAGTGTTTATAGATCTACTTGATTTACAACTTTTACGTTTCAAAATAAGGGTCGATACATGATTTTCAAGTCATCGCAAGGTATTCTTTGTCAAAACTACATTTTATAATAAAATTTAGAGATATGCCGTACTTGTATAGTATAAAGTAGGCACCTTACACAAACCTCACCTTTCAAATAAAGGTAAACCTTCGATAGCTTTCTCAAACCCTACAACCTTCGTGATTTTCCTGCCGACCTGTTTCCTTCATTGACATGTTTGTTAAAATGAAAATCTATCCACATTAGATTTTTGGGAACATATAATCATTTTCATACTTGGCAAGTGGTACGGTTTGTATAAGGAGCCAGCTTTACGCAAAGAGTAAACTCTGACAAACAAAAAAATAATATATAAAGTTCTAGTGCCACAAACCTTTATGATGACGTAAAAATTCATTTTCACTTATAATTATAAACTTTATAGCTCAAAAAATGCATAGAACATACATATCTATAAAAACTTAAATTTTTTGAAAATGAAAGGTCTAGACAATCCATACAAGATGCATTTTTTTTAGAACTTGAAGTCTTTTTTTTTTTTATTCATACATGCTCAGGTTTAAATGACCAATTGCAAGGCTTATCAATAGCGGAACAACATTTTTAAGTAGATTTTAAATGTGCACTTAAGGTTGACACCTTATAGGAACTTTTCCCTTTTCAATTTTCCTGTGTGTAAATAAAGGGCCGATATAGTTTACAAGATTTACAGGAAGGACATTATTATCCTCTCTATTAATTTACAAGATCATGACTTTTGAAGGATATTATTTTGGAATAACTATAAATACTTTTACAACTATACTTTTTTTCCCCACTCATAACTACTAACAATTGGGGCTAAGTACACACAAAAATAGAAAAAGTTTGGAAAAGACAAAAAGTCAAAGAGAAGTGAATAAATAAAGCACAAAGTAAAAACTTCAAAAAAGTTTTTCTAAAAAAGAACAAAAATAAAAAAAAAATCAGAAGAAATAAAAAAACAAGAGAAATACAAAACTATAATTTTCCTTTCCCACGCAAGACCTGAATAAATGTTTGGTTTAATTATAGAAAAAAAAAGAAGAAAAAGAGTGGAGCACACAAAATGAAGAGAACATCAATAGCGATATCCAAATAAAACTTGCTTTGGATTCGAGAGAAAAAAAGAAAGAAAACAGACGTAAAGAATTCATAAATAAATAAATAAAAAGAGTAAAACAAAAACAAAAAGAAACAAAAAAGTAAAACAGGAAATTAAAGAACTCATAAAAGCCAAAGGAATGCACAAAAAAAGAGAAGAAGAGAAAATAAGGGAGTGGACAAAATGAAAGAGAACATTACTTATAGTATTTAAATAAACCTTGAGAAGAACAAAACATAGAGGTAAATAATTCATAAATGTAAAAAAGCATAAAAATAAAGCACAAATGAAAGAAGGAAAAAAGTTTAAATGAGGCTCCAACCTCAAACAATAAAAGTAAGGTATACCTCAAAAATCTAATAAAAAATGATGTTTCGAAGATGTGAAACCATCTAAATTGATCATCTCGAACTTAAGATCCATTCCAAGTACTGCATCTTATGACAAATTATTTGGACAATTTATTTTCAAAAATTTTAAGTGTTTATGATTCTGCTCGATTTGCATCGCCTTTGAAAATTTAAATTCAATAATTAAAAATGAACATCAATTTCCAAATTACCGTATAATTTTGGACATTAGAACTACAAAATTCAAAGATGCACTTTATTTGCAGCATATAAATATATAAAAATGGGGCACCTTATAACGAAAAACACCACTAAAACAGAGACGTGCCAGGTAGGGGTCGAACCTAGCACTTTCTGCATTCCAAGTACTGAATCTTATGACTTGCATCGCCTTTGAAATTTTAAATTTGATAATTAAAAATGAACATATTTTTCCAATTTATCGTTTAAGTTTGGACTTTATAACTGCATCTTTCTAGCAAAATTCAAAGATGCACTTTATTTGCAGTATAAAAATATATAAAAATGGGGCACCTTTCAACGAAACGAAAAACATCACTAAATAGAGCCGCGCCAGATAGGGATCGAACCTACGACTTTCTGCTTAGGAAACAGACGCTCTATCCACTGAGCTACAGGCGCATTGGTGAAACGCCTGGCCAATTTTAATTAAATATAGTTATTTTTCTTCAATCGTTATTTTCCCTCGGTTCCTATATTTGAATCTTGACCGAGTTTTAGAGTGAGAAATAAAAATGGCGGGCTAGATCTCAGATTTATGCAGACTCTTTTGGGGTTTTTAGTGAGAGAAACGAGATGGAGGAATCGATCTCAGCCTTCTGCAACTCTTTAGGGGGTTATTGCAAGCAGCTTCAGAGCAGCTGTGATGCCCTAAAAGACTCTATCAATAGACGACCAATTCCTCTTAGTAATTCTCTGTTTTCTATCTCTTTGCTTTTATTTTGTTTGCCCTAATTTTCCATTGATTCCATGCACTTTAGCTCATCATCACATAACGATTTTATGTGCAATTGACGTATATATCGAGGGAATTTTGCTAAATAAGATCGAGATTTTTTTAGTTTTCAAAGTTACAGTGAATTCACTGAGAAAATTTGGGAGAAAATTCGCCGATAAGGAACCAGGGAGAGATTTTCGCCGATAAGGAACTAAGGAGAGATTGAGGTCGTTTAGAAGGAGTATCTGTAATTATTGAATCTTCTTCTGCAAATCGAAATTTATGAACAATTTATTATGGCACTTTGCAAAAACAAAGCGAAAAAGGAACTGTGGTAACTCACTTGATCTGATGTCCTGTTAATTTATTTGATCACATTTTCTCCATTACGGCAATAATCACCTCTTAATTATCTTCTCTGTAATGTTTTTGGGTTTTTTCCTCGCCAATGACGGCATAGTTTATTAGGACTATTTCCATATTTAATTTTTTATATTCTGTGCAATTTCATTAGTTTTTTGGCCTGTCTATAGTGATATAGTTTATTTGGACTGAGACTTTTCATATATATTATTTTCTCCTTGTTATTTTATGCTGAAGATAACATTATTGTATAAAATATCATTATCTGGATTATATAGGAACAATAATTATTTAAAGGGAATGGTATTTCATTCACCCTTTATTCCTTTGAATATTTTGTCCTTTATTTGGGAACAAACCTGACTTATTTATAGTCCTCTGTAAGTTTTCCCCAATTTCTTATTGCATTTCCCCATGACCATTCATTGTATGCGTATTATATAGATCAAATATTTCTTATGATTAATAATTTTCGTCATTATTTTTGTACAAACTGGTCTCCGTTCTATTTTCTCTCAATCTCTTATTTCTCTCTATCTGTTTTTTTCTTTCTTTTTTTTATCTTTTTATTTTTTTGCATTTTTATGCAGAGTCTGCCTCTTCAACCTTTGTTGAGTGTCTAAATCGCAAGGTAACGGCAACTAGTGAAGATCTCAACTTGCTTGAGTCCATGGTCATTGACACAGTTTCTTTTGAAGAGCTTTTGGGGTACTGCCATCAAGTCTATATAAATAACCAAAATGATATCTTGGAGCTCGAGGATCACCTCAGAGATTTTGGCTATGTACCAGGCAAAATCTCCTTTGGTAAATTCTTAGTAAAAAACATCCCAAAGTGTTCCATTGGTTTAGTTTTCTCTGTTTTCTTGCCTTGCCCTTTCTGGTGCTTAGTGTTTTGGTTTTGTATTGTTAGAGTCAATGAGCGATGAAGAAAATGAGGCTAAAGATACTTTGGCATCTGATTTTCGACTTGGATCCACAGTTTCAAGTCCCCTAGATGAATCAAATAGGGGATCTTTATCTTTCACTTTTGGTCTGGCTTTTGAACCTGAGTCGTTCAGGAAGAGGCTTCAAGAGGATGATCTGTATCCTTTCCACTGGCTGTTCTTGTTACCATCGTTTCATTCTTATGAGCTTTCACTGTAATAAGTATATATGCATTTTGTCAGCTCAAATATAGTCTCCAAAGAATTATATAGAAGATGAACTTTAAAAGAGCATTTTTATAGCTTACCAAACACTGAAAAACATCAGTGGTTACAAAATAGCTCATGAACGTCAACATGTATGTCAGTTTCTTCTTTCATGAATGCATTATTTGCACTTTTCCTTGAAATTCTTGTAATTCAGGCATTTGTTTTCACATTGAATTGAGTCTCTACTCTTAGGGAATATCAAATGCCTGTGAATAGACATTAGAATAATACCTTCACAGCAACCTATAGACATCCATGTGCAACAAACTTACGTTGTATATGAATACCATGGAAGGAACATAACTTGCCCAGGCTGCCTCATAGGCGATTCGAAGTGAGATGGATTGAATAACCAAGGTTTTCCTTGTAGCTTTGGTTTATTGTATGCAAAATTATATATGTCTGTAAAGACAATAAATTTTGATTTGTCCCCTCAGAATTTGTAGTGGCCATCTTACTCTTATAATATAACCAGACTTTAAGTAGCTGCTAAGTAATTTCAAACAAGCAAGGTTCGAGCTTCTTGGAAAAGGAATGGAGCTGACATGGTGGATTCCTTGGTGCCAGTCCAGTGGTTCTTTGTTCACATGGACAAAAATTGTTTTCTATGTTTCTGTTTGTGCATTGAATTTGAGAAACTTATAGAGCTTTGTGATTTTATAATTTGTGTTATTCTTGGGAACAGGATTGTTGTAGCTTTTCCTATACCCACATGGTTATAGTTTCATGTACATGACCCATTGCCCTGCAATATTGAAATATATAGCCTGCTAGATGGAAAGGCCATTTGGTTTTTCCATGTTCACAAAGTAGTGTTCAAAATGATTTAAAAATAAATGATTCAGTAAATAGCTTGGAATCAAAACCAACCTGTTGTCCTAATATGTTGATTGCAATTTTGGAAGGAGTCTCACTTCAAAATGGATCTTGAAAATATACAGTTTCTTGTTCTTGCTTTTGTGGCCTTGACTTTGTGTTTTCTCCGGGCAGCCTGTAAAATGTTCAGTTACTATATGCATCTAACCTTTTTGAGAAAATGTTCCTGGACTCACTATGAATCTCTAACCTACAATTGAACAGAAAAGAAGCAAAAATAAGTCTTGCATGCATCATACAATGATGCCTGTTCTCTGGGCAAATGATTCTTTAGTGGTTTTTAAGTACCATACTGATTGTTCTTATGATATTTAAAATATTTCCACTTGGTTCTTCTAAATCCCTTTAGATGGAAGCATTCATGACTACATCTTTCCTATTTTTTCTTTTCATGGTTACATCTTAACATTCATAAGACTGGAGGACTTTCCATGCTTGCAAGATATTGGTCTCTCGGATGCTTGCCTTGCGACGTTGGCATCTACGGGTATGCATACAGAAGTTTTGCTATTCACAGTCTATTCAACCTCCTATGACTATTTAGAGTAGTTATCATTACAGCAGTGTCTACATTTGTAAGACACTCATAAAGTACTTGCGATGTGACTTCTTCATCAAGTATGGTTTGAGACTCATTTTGTGTGTGAGTGCAAGTATGTTCAGTGGAATGATGATTTAAATTTGTTATTTGGTCATGTTAGTTTGGCTTTATTGCACACTTCAGACATTTCCAATACTTCTATTGTAATACTTGTCAAGAAAGGAACTGTCTTTGTCTGATCTTCAAAATTATTAAATGCTGACACTCTCTAGTCTTTTGCAGCAGATGATGACTTCAGAAGTCCTGAGGATGTCATACGAAAACCTCCAAGGAACATACATTTTCTTTCTGAATTGCCGTAATCAACTATCTTCTTTTATTTTATTTTATTTATTTAGTTTTCTCAATTCAATTATCAAAGGAAGAATTTTTCTATTTGTCAATGCATCTTGTGTTGTTGTCAATAAAGTGAAGATCCTAAGCTCCACAATATTTTAATGTTTCTTAGCCAGCAGGCACACATGGATGAGCCGCTTAATCTTAAAGCTTCCAAACTGCCGCCTCCTATGAATGTATTGAATGTTGAAGAAACTATTGAGGCAATTCATTCAAATCCTTCAGGTTTAGTTTTCTATTTCATTTTTCTTTTGACTTGTCAATTATCAAATTTGACATGTTTTTTTAGTTTAAAATTGCTTAGATTACACTTGGATTGTATGCAACAATAGAGTGCATCATACGGTTGTCATGGAATTCAGGCGAGTTGAGAGATGAGGCTAACACACTTGGAGGTGGGAATGGATTGGTGATCAGCATTGTGAAGGGCGACTATGATAAACTTCCTTCCTATCTGAAGTTCTTAGCATCATGGGAGGTGTGTATTTTAATATATGCCATTTTCTTGTAATACTTCTTGGAGGGACTGGCCTATATGTCATGTGGCCTTTTAGCAAGGTTATGTAGATTTTCGATTCACTTTCACTTACTACTTCAGAACTTGAATGGGTTTGGGGGGCATTTATTTGCCTAGAAAGACATTGAGTTCCTACAGTGTGGTTAGTTCTTAGAAGTTTATTTTATCTAGGTAGAATACTGATGAGAACAAAACTAAGGCGCCATTTGATTCAAGGCCAAATTGCAATTGGGCCTCAAAATTGAATTTTTCTACAAAATCACTCCAAGTTGTTTTGCAAAAATTTAATATGGGTCTCTCTCTCTCTCCCCCCGCAAGTGCCATCTTTACTATTACCATCCTCAAACCACCACCACCATCATATTACCTTCACCACACCATCACTACCACCACCACCTCCTATCCATCACTACCACCACCACCTCCTATCCACCACTACCATCACCATCATTCTTACCACTTCCATACTGCTATTACTTCCGCCGCCGCCGCCGCCGCCGCCGCCGCCGCCACCACCACCACCACCACTCTCACTCCTTCCCACCACCATTATCACCACCATCACACTTTACCAATAACATCACTACCACCAACACAATACACTAACAACTTATAGTTCAAATTGGAATCCAACACCCCTAGAGAGCAAATGCTAATTGACCAAATTGCTATTTGGTCAATTATAAAATGGAAGAAACATCAATTGACAAAGTTTTCAAATCATACGATATTTGAAATTAGTAAGCATAGTAGTCCAAGAACATGCAATCATCTAGGAATAGCTTTGACCTTTTTTTCTTTGTCTTTGTTATAAGAAACAAATATATGAGGAACTTCAAATACTGATACTGTAAATCTAAGTATAGAGCTTGAATTTGGTTTAGAGTAGTTTTTTCAACTGTGATTCAGGCTGGGCTCACTGGGGTTCTGAGCTGAAGTCAGGAAACTTGACTCGGACGAGTCCTAGTGAGTAGTGAGACTCGGCCAAGTCTAAACAAAGACGCTTTAGGAACTCGATAGACATGGGTGTTTCCATAGGTTCTTCCTGTGTAGTTTGCAACATGAGTCCAAGCCGAACTTGGAAATTTTGTAAATAGTTGGTTTAGAGAATACAACTAGTATTCTTCATTAAAAAGATGCTTAGGAAAAATTAATGGATCAATGTTCTCATGGAAAAGTGATGGATTATGTGCATATGTTTCTATTACTCATTGTTATATTGATTCTTGTTTCAAATATTGACTATATTTGAGCAGGTCCTAAAATGTAGGGGCCTACATTATTGCAACATGGTAGATTTTTTGGATTATTTTGCATCTTGCATGAACTTTGTCAACAACTTGACCCTAATTATTATTATAATTTATCTGTTAGAGATTGTTTGCTTAGCTCCGTGTCTCTGTCTGTGTGTGTGTCTGTTCTTGTGTATGTTTATGTACACTTAGAACATGTGTTTATGTTCGAATGATAAAGATATTTATGTTCGTGTGTATGTCTATGTTCTTGTTCTTGTGTCTGTCTCTCTCTTTCTCTACCTCGTGTAACTACCGTAAATCTGGGAAACTCCTAGTTGTTCCTAACTCCAAGCACCCCCAAGTGAGTCCTCATCAAATAACCTCCCATAAAAGGAAAGCTAACCAGATTTTCAAAATATCTCATGCTAATCCTAACATCTAAGAAATTGACCACCATAACCCATAACAATTAATAAAAGCCAATTTAGCCCCCCTATACTTTAAATCCCAGCTTAAGCAATACAAATAATTAAAAACCCATGCATGTCTCTGAACTTAATAATATTAAATTTGAATTCAATCTAATTTTTAAAAATGTCTCGGATGCAATTTGTATCAAGGATAATATAATTAAAAAATAAAATATAAGAAAATTTTAAAAAATAAAAAAATAAATATGAAAATCCAGAAAATATATAAGAATCATGAGAAAATTTTTAAAAGTTTGGAATAAATAAAATATTATATATGATTATTTCACAATATATAAGAATCATAAGAAAATTTGGAACAAATAAAAAATTAAATTTTTATTTCATAATGAATGCCTTTTATGATTTCATCGGTCAAGTGTCAATATTTTCCATAATTTCATTGAAGTGTTAATAACAAAAATAGGCAAATGAAAATTAAAAAAAAAAAAATTATTACATTTTTAAAAAGGAATCTTAGCTTCCAAAAAAGCAAACACATACAAAAATAAACTTAATAAAAAGAAAAAACAATCACTAAATAGAACATCAGAAACAATCTATTGCAATGATATGAGAAAAAAATCATTTCTATCATTTTTCAAAATCTATTGCAATGATGTGAGAAAAAAATCTATTGCAATGACATGAAATCTAATTTTTCAAAATCAAACAAGAAAATAGTGTAGTAGACTTAGTTGGTCTATAGTACCAAAGGATCTCAGACCAAAATGTCCCTACTTAAATTTAATAAGATTGAAAAAGAAAAACCACCCAAAAAGCATTAAAGGGGGCTTGTTTCCTCCTTTTTTGACATTATGCTGGTTCGATTCTGAACTGGTGGACTAACCACCCAGTCACTGGTCTGGCTAGTCCATTGATTGGATGGCCATTCTTGTTCAGAAGTTCAAACCAGACTAGAATGACCATCGGTCCAATGGTTTCCAGTCCGGACTGGCTGTTTTGCTCCAGTTGGTCTGGTTGGGTTTGAATAACACTGCAATAAACTCATTCCTCGAAGATTCTTTTTAACACTACGCGTGTGTTGGGGTGTGTGTGTGTTTGATTACATGCACACATACACACATGCACAATGTTTAAAAATGCAAAAGGCAGCACCTAGGTGGATGCCTCATGATTGAGGTGCCCTAAATAGTAAGAGGGGGGTGGGGGGTGTCAGGGCCTCAGTGGTGTTTGGGTTGGATGCCAAGCCCACTAATTATACTTATTTATTGAACAATTAAAAAAAACTTTCTTTTAATGTGTTTAGGTATTGTTGTATTGTGCATACATGTCATAAGTTTGAAACTTGAATTATTAAGATTTAAGATGATTGAAACTTGTCCAAACTAGAAAGTTGAACTTGAAAGACTATAACAATCAGTCCAGTCTTATCACATTGTGAATATGGACTAACTTCCGTAAGCTTCATAGGCCTTATGGGTTAAACAGTTACATTAAATGTCATACTCCACCCATACCATCTCCATCGACCATCAATACTACCAAAAAATTAACAAGAGTCAAAAGACTTAATGCAAGAAAGCAAATCTCAAATGGTAAATTGGGTTTCATTGCTGCTATCATCATCGTCGTCATCATCATCATTAACACTGGGTGAATCTGAATCTGATGATGCCAAGCCATCATGATCTGAATTATCTCCCTGCTTGACATATGGCTCTTGTTCCTGTGTCTCTTATGAGTCAGCCTCTTCCTTCTCCCTTACTGCCTCATGCTCTTCCTTGAAGCTTTGGATCTAGTCACCCACATAGGGCTGAGTAAACTTCCAGCACAAATTCTCTCCAGGGAACACTTCATCTCCAATATTAACCAACCATCTCACTTAAATCATCTATATCTCTCACAAACTAGATTGTTTAGTCCATTTTGCTCAAGTTTGTTCTCTTCTTTTTTTGGATTTTTTGGAGAGTGCATGAATCCATGATTTAGAAAATTATAATACAAGTTAGAAGTGTCCCATAGAGCTGATGAGGACTCAAAAGGACTTCGGAATAGTAGGCAATGAGTTTAGAAGTACCAATGAGCTAAAATTGCACTCACAACTAGATGAGCTACAAGTTAGATTCAATATGTGAAGGGTTGTCTTCTTCAAACCGATTTTTTCAATGTTAACCATTATGGTTGTGAAAAATAGGACTTCAAGCCTTCAAAATAGTGTATCATCATCATCATCATCATCATCATCATTATAGCCTTTTCCCAATTAATTGGGGTCTGCTACACAAATCTTGGTCTGTCATTCTGCTCTATTAAAGGCCATACCCTCAGTGAGGCCATAAATCCCCATATCTTTCCGAACTACTTCCAACCACATCTTTTTGGGCCTACTCCTTGTACTTTTAAGTCCTTTCACTTGAACTAACTCGCACCTCCTAACAGGTGTTGTACTTGGTCGGTGCCACATATGACCAGCCCACTTAAGTCTACTTTCTCTCATCTTATCGTCTATTGGTGTCACACCTAAATTCTCTCAAATGGATTCATTTCGAATTCTATCCCTTCTTGTTTTGCCACTCATCTATCTCGACATCTTCATTTCCGTTCCACTCATTTTATAGGTATATTGTTTTTTGTCCGCTCAACATACAACCTTGTAGAACAAAGCTGATCTCACAACTATCTTATAGAACTTGCCCTTCAGCTTCATTGGTATGCGACAATTACATAAAATTTCAATTGCACATCTCCACTTCGCCCACCCAGCTCTAATTCTGTGTGCGACATTTTCCTCAATCTCTCTATTTTCCTGGATTATTGACCAGAGATATCGGAAGTGCGGTCTTTTTTGTATTCTCTGGCTGTCAATCTAACCTACTTCCTCGTCTCTACTTCTATTATTACTAAACTTGCATTCCATATACTCTGTCTTAATCTGGCTAATTTTAAAACCTTTGGATTCTAAAGCGTTCCTTCAAAGTTCTAACTTTGTGTTGACGCCGTTTCAGATCTCATCCATCAAAACGATGTCATCTACGAACAACATGCACCACTATCCTGTAGGTGCTTAAGTAAGTCATCCATAACTAAGATGAAGAGGTACAGGCCCAATCTTGACCTTTGATGCAAACCTATTGTCACTGAAAACTCACTCATTTCTCCACTAGTTGTTCGTACACTAGTTAGCGCTCCATTGTACATATCTCTCACCAAGTCGATGTAGTGTCTGGAGACTCATTTCTTTTCCAACACCCACCAAATTAAATCTCAAGGTACTCTATCATAAGTCTTCTCTAGATCAATAAAAACCATGTGGAGGTATTTTCCCTTTGCCCTAAACTTCTCAATCAGTGGCTTAAGTAGGAAAATAGTCTCGATTGTTGACCTTCCTGGCATAAAACCAAATTGATTTTCAGACGCACTCTTTTCATGCTTTAGTCGTTGCTCAATCACTTTCTCTCAGAGCTTCATAGTATGGCTTATAAGCTTGATACCTTGATAGTTCGCACAATTCTGTATGTCTTCATTGTTCTTGTAAATAGATACCACAATACTTTTTCTCTATTCGTCTGCTATTTCTTTATTCTCAACACCTTGTTGAACAGCTTCATCAGCCAGTCAATGTCAATCTCCCCCATGCGCTTCCAAACCTCTATCGGGATACCATCTAGTCCTAAAGCTTTTTTTTATTTGTGCCCTTTTCAAAGCTTTTTTCACTTCCGACATCCTAATCCTACGAATGTATCTATGACTACGGCCTTCATTTGTACCACCAATTCCTTCAACCGTTATGTTCCTATTGTGTTTGTCATTTAAAAGTAGTGTATATTGTAACATATTATCTATACTGTCCATTTTCAAGTATTCATGGATCCGTAAGATCTGTACGATTTTTCAAGCAACAAATTTTAGAATCAATGGTTGAAATAGCTTTTATTGCTAAAATAGGGATTTCCCATGCCGGAAGTGTCATCAGGATGAGATTTCAAGTTGAAGTTTACTTCTTTTATTTTTATAGGCAAGTGTCTACCATTATCTTGAGTTTGATAATGGGGTTGATGTCTATTTAGTTTATAACAGCTATTTCTGTGAACTGGTTAGTATTATCAAAATGGGACATATTTATAAGTTATATGTCTGTGGCCTTTCCAGGATGTGAATGAAGCTGTTACAAAAATGAACTCTGTTCTTAAGCAGAGTGAGAGGAATATGCTCTACGAGGATGAATTCACATCAGGCACATTTGGTATTTCTTACTCTTGCTCAGCCAAAATTTTGCAAAAGCAAGAGAAAACTTCGATTATTTCACATGGTTACCAAAATCTTACCCCTCAACTCTCTCTCTCTCAGAATAACAAAATATGCACAGAAAGAGTAACCAATAAAGTGGCCTGCATATTGGCATCAGTGATTATATTTCTATAAGTGCTTATATTCTGCAAACCTCGTCCCTGTTTTGCACTTGTTCCTGCTGATGATGATCCTAATTGATGGACCTTTTCTTTTTTCATTTGAAAGTTTAGCCAATGGACTTTTCCTTTTAATTGTGATTATTCATGGAGCATATGTCTTTTTGTGATTAATTGATGACAATGCAGGTCCAAAGGGCAAGTCTTGTTTGCTTCTTCTCATGCGCATGAACCAAGTGGCAGTTGAGCCAGTGCAAGGCAAAGTCACGTATCGCTTGGTGGTTAATTAGCAGTTGTGAAAGGTTTGGTTCTCATTTTCTTTTCTGCATATTTTTTATTAGTTCATGTTTCCTTCTCTTTTGTAGTTTTGTATGAATCATTGTTTTGCTAGATCTCTGTATGTAATAATGCTTTGTCATCATATTTGTGTCATTCTAATCAAAACTTATACGCATGAATGCAAGATTTTTTCTTCTTTTTTTCTTTCTTCGATTGTTGGAATGGGAGATTGTTTTGTTCCCACCCTCTAATCCACTTGTGCGTTTATACTCACACACACACAAGCACGCAAGTGCACATTCTCCATGTTTATATTTTTTTCCTTTGCCAATAAGTGCAAGATGTCTAAATGTGCCTAACAAGACTGCTTGTTGTGGTTGGCCTCTTCCATGTCAGCCTCATATTTTAGAAATGGCAAAAACACCCTTAGGCTTGTATTTTTCTACAAGAAAACATGGTCTGTTCAAGAAAACATACCAAACCAGTGGTTAAAATATCGGAATAGGGCTCTACAATTGGCAGTGGTTCAGTCCTGATTCATCCCTGGAACGACTCAAGCGAGGTCAAATGGCACTTGGGCTAATAAGAAAACGTTAAAGAGTTTCTATAAGGCCTAGGCACTGCGAAAAAAATGTAAAGCTACAAGATCCACAAGGTCCCTATCACAAAATATAAATGCGAGACTCTAAATAATCAATTTAGAGTGTACCTCAAAAATTCATTAGAAGAGGTTTTGATGCCCAAAATTCCTCAAATTGATCATCTCAACATCAAGATTGAGTAATGATCCTATCGGAACCTCTCTCACCCATATGTGTAGGATCTTAAAGATCATCATTAAAGTTGGCATGGATTTCAAAAAAAGTTATCACATAGTGTGAGATTTGACTTTTCTATAGATTCATGCCAAATTTAAAGGTGATCCTTTGAGGTTCTACATCTATGGGTTGAGAAGGGTCTTATAGGATCATTTCTTTTCAAGATTTTTAAGTATTATAGATTGTCAATTTTCAATGCATAGATATGCTTGATGAATAATATTTTTTAAACTTTAAATTCTATAATTAAATATGAAAATAATAGATTTCAATTATCAAATCATCTTTCAACACGATTATTTGAAGTCGTGCTCTACTTTGATGGTTTAGAGCTTCAGCTCTATGGAAACCACACCCTATATATAAGGAAAAGATGGGATTAGCCTACTAGCTCATATGAGCTCAACGTTCAAACTGATTATGGGTCGATCTGACGATTATGAATGTTCGGTAGTGTTTGAATTTTACTTTCTTTTTTTTTTTTTTTACAAATTCAAATCGTTTAAAATTTTAGACATGTGTTTATAAAAAATAGGTAACTTTTCAAAAAATATCAAAAAAATATTTTATATGAAATAAATTGATCAAAATACCCCCGAAAAGTTTCGAGAGGTATTTTGATCTTTTATTATCTAATAATTTTTTATATATTTTTATTATGTGCGTCTTGATGAGAAGAATAAATACTTAAAATTTCAAATGATTTGGATATGTATAAAACAAAATAAAATTTAAGCACTATAGAATATTCGTGATCATCAGACCGACTCATATGTTCATATGAACTAATAGGCTAATCTTAAATTTTCCCATATATATAAAGAGGGAGGAGAAATTCAAATTCATGCAAAACATTCATAATAGCAAATGCTCTAATTGATCATCTAAACATGGGACCTATGGAAATGAAGCAAAAAAAAAGAAAAAAGATAATTGTTTCATGCAGGCGACCACATTTCTAGGTCTAGAATGTATGGAGTATCCATCTTGAAGATGAATGCAAGTAGGATGGAAACTAACGGTGTTTTTTTATTAGGATGATTATTTCTAGTTTCAAAATTTTATTTATTTTTTTATATTCATGATGTCCATGTTAGAGATTACATGTGCTTAAAAACTAAGTCTTAAAATCCATCTCAAAAATAGATTTATTTAGAGGCTTGCATTTCTACATATACGGTCAGGGCTGCATAAAAACCAGGTCCAAAAAATATTCGAATCCCAAGGAAAAAATTCTTCAGATGCAAATAAAAATTATCAAAAAAAGATTCATTTTTTATTGACAAAACAGTGAGGTCCGTAATTCTTGGAAAAGTGCAGTTACGCAGCTGAAAAATCCCATGGCACCTATAATGATTTTATTTTATGGAACTGAAGACAATGTATGGACAAAGATGTGTTTCAAAATGACTATTTTAATACTTCAAATATGTTTTCTGCAGTTCCATGATGGTAAGACTTGCAGTTTTTCCATAAAAGGAAACTGCTCTCAGATTTGAAGTGCACCTGTTCAAAGCACCGACATAACAAACACTTACCCATCTCAAAAGCCCTTTTTAGCTAATCTCGGATAACAAACATTTTCCAATCTCAACAGCCCTTTTTAGATAATCTCATATGTGTATCATCGTGATAATTCATTTATTTCATTAACTTTGAACACTTACAAATGCAAAAATTGAAAACTAACGAGATGCAATGTGCTATGAACTATGTCAAGTCCCTAACTTTGTGGTAAACTCTTCTATCTACTGTTTACGGTATTGAGTCTAGCCCCAAACTTAGCAGTAAGGCTCCATCTCTCGGTTGGTTACAATTGAGTCCAGCTCCTGACTTTACAGTAAACTCTCCATCTCTCAACTGGCTACGGTTTTGAGTTATCTTAGAGAGAGAGAGAGAGAGAGAGAGAGAGAGACGCCCTAACTTGACAGTAACTA